TAACTCTAACCAGTTTAAACATTTCAAAATTTCCTTTAACCCGGTTGGAAAGGAATTATATAATAATCCAAACTAACCAACGCAAGCTTACTAAACACCACAAACCACAACCTAACGGCATGACTAAGAAAAGAAAACGCATGATACCCAAACCGGATTAAAACAAGCTTACAACTGGATTTAATATTCTCTCAAAAATAACCGAACTAGAGAAGAACACTTTTGCGATAAAAATTAATACAAGATCATAACTAAAAACAGAATTAACAAAGATTTGTATATGTAAATAATACAATGCAGTATATAGATTACATACAGCCCAAAGACGAGCAGCAAGGAATTTGACAACCCAATCACACTCCAACTACGGAATGGCAAAATACACCCGATTTGCTGCCTACAGTCACTACACTCAACGGATTTAAAGTACGACTTGGCATCGCAGCAAAGGAAACCCATTGCAACAGAACAATGGCCATCTCGATGTTCAACATACGTACAGATCCAAGTCACCAGGCACTGCATCCAAAGTCGAACTACACGACACTCTCGAATGTGATTAGACCATTCCTATTCTCTAAAATCAACCAGATCAACACTCATCACAACCGATCAGAAATCATAATATAATCTCCCGAAACTATCGTGATAACATCTCTTCTTCCAAACCAGAAAAAAAGAATATGCTCGCAACCTCTAAAGAAAAACACCATCTTCCATCCTACACTACAAAACAACTTTGAAAAAAAAACTCTCTAAACCCCGGATGGGTGGAACCAGATCTACACTAGTATTTTTCATTGGTTATTATTATGATATTTTATCTCTATGAAATATTAAATACTAACCAATCATACTCCATCAAACTAACAACCCACTTATTTGTAAGTATTGAAACTACTTGTAGTTTCAACACCAGAGCAATTTGAATTTAACTTAGAATACAGTTGTTCTCACTCTGGAACTAACTCGCAATAAGCCAGTATACTCTAGATCTATTGAGCCTAGCAGAGACTAGTTAAACACCCTGAGACTAGTAGATATAAGAGTAAGATTAGGATCGGTATTAGACTAAGAAGTTGCACGAATCTATCCGGCCGAAAATAAGATAGCGTGACGAGCAGACGGTGTACCCTATCCGAAATTACTCTATGAGTTAGAGATCCATCCTAACTCATCTGGTGCGACCAAAAAGTCTCGAACAGACCTTAACTAACCTAGATTTAGAAAAAGTAGATTAGAATTAAACAAATACAACATTTAAAAAAATGTTAAGTGACAAAAATGGTTTTGGAAAGAAGTGAGTTTTGTCAGAGCTGCAAAATGTTTTTTGGAAATGAAACAACTTGCATAGGTTAATCAGTTGTGTGGAAGAAAGAGAAAATGTTAAAGTTGAAGACTAGCAGAAAAAGACACCATTCGACGCAGGTTCTTGTTTACAAAATGTTCCAATAATGGACTATGATGAACAAAGTTTCATTCGGTTCATTATTAATTCTGATAAAAAGTTTTTGCAAGACAAAATTGTTATAATTGATAAAAAAACAAAACCAAATATCAATTCTCACCAATTTGAAAAAAAAAAGAGTTAGTCGAACTTTCGTTTGTTCTTAGCTTGTTTGATTCGATTTTAAATTGAGTGCAATGTTAAAATCTCTACCAAGGATGCAACTACTTGAAATTTAATCATAGCATCATTAAGCTTGTCTTCAACTAGATACGGTGCTGCCGACAAAACCGTTATGTGAGACATTCAGAACTAACAAGGGGCTATGCTTTAATCTGAACAATTTGGCAGTGCAATGAAATACGATTTGTGTGAATTGCCAAAAAAATCAGCTGATTACCTTTTTTAAAAAAGTTCTTAGAAATTATTTCTCTTACGACAGTTTGAGATCAGTAACAAACTAACTTAATCATTGAAGCCATTAAGTGCAGAAAACAAAATAAGGACGCTCAAATTAAAAACTAAAAAAACGAATTAGTGGAAGGTTTGAAAAACAGAGTATGCGTGGACATTAAACAGCAAAATTCTCGTGGACATTAAACAGCAAAATTGAAATGGTATTCTAAAACTCTATGTTGGTATCTTGTAAACAGCAGACTCTTTTCGCAATTGAATCAAAATTCCTTAACAATTCCTCCACATTTTCAATGGTTGAAACAAAAACGTTTCAGGTACCTAAAGCAAAACAGAGCAAAGCAAAAAAATACAAGTTTATTGTTTACTATTTATGTGTAGCTTAAAAGAAGTATACCTGAGTTATCTGTTTTAAGTAAACGCAAATGTCTTAACGCTTCGTTTAACTTCTTTTTTGCCTTAGCGGTTTGTTCCTTTTCGAGGCCAGCAGTCGACTGCTAACAAACTTTGAAAGCCGCGCCGTGGTTTGCCTCATGCCCGTGTTGCATAGTCGCCACCCTTTTCAAGACGCGTAAGGAGCAAATTGGGTTGCAAAAGTCTAGTTAAAGGAAAACAGGGTTGCAAAAGACTACAACACCTAAATTTGAGCGCATATGGATTTCTATCGGAACATACTGAACTGAAATTTAATCCTCTTGACATTATAAACTTTTTCCTAAAGTCGCAAAACTCTCAAATTGTCACATTATGGTTGCGAAAGTCTAATTATTTGCCAACTAGGTTGCACATTTGGTAGTTTGCACATTTGGGAACTTTAATTATGATTATTTGCCAACTAGATTGCACATTTGGGCACATTAAGTTTTGTTCCTAAAGGGCAACGCTGAATAACCATGAACAATTTTTGATGTCGTTGTTTGTGATTTTTTAGACATGTTCGAATTTTTGTTTTTAATTGTTGCCTAAACAATTTGCAAAGGTTTTTTAAGTTTTAGGCTTTCATATGTAAAATACAGAGAATAGCCATCTTACATGCAAAAATATGGCTTCAATAGCTTACTGTATTAAGCTAGAGGCTACTTTTCAAGGCATCGCCTTTTACGTTTTTATAAGACATATGCAAAAATAATAATCAGCTATGGCCTGCTGGCATACGGTTGCTGATCAAAAACGTCTTTAAATTGCATTCTTCTAATGAAAAAAGAATCCTTAGAACAAAGTTTTTCAAATGCATGTTTGATCAAATACACTCTGTTTTCAGCCAGCATGTGATTACAACAGTTTACGAGATTTTTCTGTAAGAAATTTTTTAAGAGGCTACTAACCAAATTTTTGAATAGATTTCCGCTTTGTTTCTTAAATGTTTCGCAGTTATCAGAAAGGAGATAGACTAGTTACAGAGAAAACAAAACTGTACATTCTTTTCCTTGTCTCAACATTTGTTATCAAAGTTCGGTTTATGTCAAGGTTAAGAATTTCTAAAACTTTTGTTTTCAAAAAAGTCAATCCTGAAAGCATTGAAAAATTGTCAAAAAAGTTTGGCTCTGCAATAAATTCATAAGCAAAAATTCAGAATTTTTGACTTGATCTGTAGCACGTGACCGTAATTCAGCTTCTTTCTTATCTACAACTTTGTGTAAGTTTATCCGGGACAACTCCTCGAAGAGTCTCCTGATTTGTTCCTCGTGATTTTTCCCTGTGTGGTTTGTATTTATTCATCGTTTGTTGTATTATAAATTTACAAAATGAATTCAATAAATTCACTTTGGATTGCACAGATGATGTAAGATACACCATCAGACAAAGAACTTGAAATTATGAACTGATCGGGGAAAAACAAAAACGAAGAAGACAATTTGAGCATCTTCACTATTGCGCAGCAGCCGCCTATTCTTTTTTTTGGAAATTCCATTATAGAGTTGGCTATCTAACCAAATATTTGCGCAGCAGCTGCCTATTCGTGTTTTTATTGTTCCGACTTTCGATACGAAAGTAACGGACTATTTGTGCTCGGGGTGGGTTTTTTTTCTTCAGACAAATTTCGACTTTCTAACTAGCCATTTTTGACGGAATTTTTAAATAATATTCAAAAGGTATCGTTGTCCTGAGCTTAAATTTGAAAAGATGTTTCACCTGTGTTCATTTTTCTTAAAGTTATGGGGATTTAAAGATTGCCATTTTGGTCAATTTGGGGCAATTAACGAGCGATATAATTCGCGCTATAAACGCGTAAGCGGAGATTTAATCCGTCTTAGAAATCGTTCCAAATTGGTTGAAAGAAGCTTAATTGCCATAAAGGAGCAAAATCTATCCTTTGTGTACTTTATGTGACGTGTGGGGGGATAATTCTCATAAAAAAATTCAAGTTTTTTTCAAATTTTTTATTACATTTAATTTTAATCGGTAATTACTGCTCTATAAACTTTAAAGGCAGTTGGAACATTCAGGGATCCATCCTGATACGAACAGTCTTGTTGTTCCGACTTTCGATACGAAAGTAACGGAATAATTGTGCTCGAGGTGGGTTTTTTTTCTTCAGACAAATTTCGACTTTTTAAGTAGCCATTTTTGACGGAAATTTTTATATCATTCGACAGGTTTTCTTGTCCTGAGCTCAAATTTGAAAAGATATTTCACCTGTAATTATTTTTCGTAACGTTATGGGGGTTTGAAGATTGCCATTTTGGCGAATTTGGGACAATTAGCGCGCGATATATTTCGCGCTATTAACGCGTAAGCGGAGACTTAATCCGTCTCAGAAATCGTTCCAAATTGATAGAAAGAAGCTTATTTGGCATAATTGGTTTGTTACAAGGAGTAAATTCTCTCCTTTTGTACTTTATATCGCGTGTTAGGGGATGATTTTCATTAACAAAATTCAAATTTTAGAAAGAAAAATTTTTTTTTTTCATTTTGTTTTATTTCATTGATTTTTTAAATGTTTCTACTGCTCCATTAACCTTAAAAGGCAGTCGGAACATTCAGTGCTTCGCCCTGATACGAGCAGTCTTGTTGAAGTTTTGCTATCTAACAAAATGGATGCACAGCAGCCGGCTATTTATGTTTGTTTAAAAGCTCCCTTATATAATAGGCCATCTAACTTTTCTTCTTCAAAAGATAGGATCAAATTATTTGTGAATTGGAGGGTAATTGTGCATATTTTATTAATCGATGTTTCAAAAATGTATTAAGTAGGAGCAGTGATTTGAGTTAAGTAACCATGTTTTTTCAGCTCGAGCACTGGCTTTATCCATATTAAATATCGGGTTCAAATCGCTGCATCACTTTTCAGAAATAGTTTACTTTTAATTGTACGGATGTTCTTAAACTGAGCTCATTCATCTAATCGTAGCATGATTAGTACATTAATAAAATCAAAAAACTTTTAGCCAAGCTTCTCAGAGTATTTGAACAGTTTGTAAATGGTTTCATTGAACTAGTCCATTTTTTTGTTCATTCTCATTGAAATAATTTGCCGATGCAGTGAAAACATCAGATCAGCCTTGAAATCTGTTGTTCAATTTTTGGCAAAAATGTGTTCAATTTTTTCTATGATCGTGTGTCGTTGGTGCCCTTTGAGAGTTTAGTTCTTCAGCTCCTCCTCGTACTGTTTGCGGAAACAGTCTCCGAGAGGAAAGAAGTCGAAGTCTCGTTTCTGGTACAGATTCCATACGTACGTCTCTTGTCCCGTAAATTCAGTCTCGTCCTTAAAAAAAAAGAAGAAAAAATCAAGAATCAGTGAGTTTTTTTTTTGACCCAAGATTCACAAGACAAGTTATCAAAAACTGAATACTGTGCGGAAAAAAAAACAAATTCGTCCTCGTCGTTGAACTCTTTAGAACCACTTGTGAAGTTGGGCTCATCCTTCACATGCAATGTTATTACATACCCGCACCGAGCGCCCATAGATCATAATCGATTATATTGCCATAATATCGTCAGTATCTATAAAATTACAAAATAATCGATTATAATCCATTTATGGGGGCATTTGGGCCAATTTTTTTCAGACAAATTTTATACTTCCCAGCTATGGCAATTCTTAAAACTCTCGAACTTCAAAGGCAAATTAGATTAAAAATTAAAAAAAACGAAAATTTTAACTATTAATTTTGACAAGTTCAAAATTGAACTCAGAAAATTGGCTAACGTATATGAATTTGATCTTTGATTTTGATTGTTTTCTGCTCAAACATGTTATGTTTCTTTTTAGCTTTTCTGCTCTCATTTTTTGCTTTTGTGTTTGCTATATATACCTTGTTGATGAGGTACATGAGAAAGAACATGTAGTTGGCGAAGTTGTGTTCCTTCTCGCTGTGGATCTCGAACCCATGGGCCGCCTGCTCGTCAAAGTACTCTTTACCAAGTCCACAAATGAAGCACTTATTCTGAAACAACAGGTTATAATAACAGTTTAGTATTTAGAATAGGTTGGTTTTAAATAAACTGTGAGTCAAAATGTTTTTTGAACATTTGAACTCATTACGCTCTATTTTAAATTTAAGGGAGATCGCGGTTTCTCGGAGTTTAACTGGTAGTAACAAAAATAATGCCTTTTTGGAAATAGCGCATTCGTAAATAGTATCATAAAATGAAACTTAAATTGTTAAAAAAGCGTCAAAACAAAGCTTCTTATTGATATCAAAAAATGGTTTTTCTAAGCAAGTTTCCAAAAATGATTGAGTTTTTTCGTCTCAACAAACATCGTGTCAGCTAATCAGTGACTCGTTTGGGATATTTGGTGGATTAAGCATAGTTTTTTGAATGGTGAAAAGAACAGCTAACGCTATCAATTCACTTACTTCCAAGTCTTCTTTTGTCTGCTCCAGTTGACCTCTAAGCTCTCCAAATGCATCAATGATCAAACCTGAAGCACAACATCATTCATTTTCAGCATCAAGAGCGAAGATTTTTTGAGAGAAGAAGACAAGATTTATACCAAAATCAAAATTTATACCAAAATCAAATGATTTGCCTGACTTAGCTTATTAAAAAATTAGTAATATGGGTGAATTATTTACTAACACTTTTTTTGAATTGCATGTAGTCATCAAAAGGATTGAGTTCAAGAATTGTCAACTAATTGAGCTGTAACTCAAAGTCAAATGATTCTTTTCTTAATGAATGTAAGGTTCAGATCTGCATGCCAAAACTTAGTTTGCTGTCTTTAGTTTGATGACCCACCTTGGATGATGGCGAGAAGAATGACGATGACGAAGAAGAAAAAGGTCATGTCGAAGATGATCCTCATGTACATGAGATCCTGTCCGTCTGGGTCCTCGATCTCGTCCCCGATTCCACCTCCCGCTCTCAGCCCATGGTGCAAGTGGAATATAAAGCACTGCCACATATTCGCACACTTTTGCTGCTCCATCACTGATCCAGGAGGGGCCGCAGCTGTTTCCGATCCAGGATCCGAGGGAGTCACGTGATTCGCGAAGAGGTTCGAGGTATCGTTGGAGAGGAACCCGATGGTGGGGGCGATGACGTCAGCCACAGTTTCGGCTTCTTCGACGTATGAGTCACGGAAGAAGTTAAAAGCCACTACTGTGTATAGATAGATGACTATAGATGTCAAAAGAGCCGTCAGTACCAGCTGAAACACATCAGAACTGATATAATTCAGGAATCTACAACTGGACCTAAAATCAATGATTGATAGAAAGCTCGCTTCGCGTAGACAACATTTGCGCAGCCAGAACTGGTTCATCCAAGACGGAAAAACTCAAAAACACCTCGTCAAACTTTTTTCAAAGCTGATGTTTTTAAAGTGGTGTTTAATGCCGATATAGGTAGACTGGTACATAACTGGGATCTTTCTAACTACTCGCCCTGCGCACAATTTCAAAAAGGGGGCGATTTGTTACTGGGTACAAAATTCGAACATGGGTGACGGTTGAATCAATCAATTTTCAATAGGGCTAGTGGGCATTCTCCTGTACCATAGAGAAGGTCGGTGGAAGATTCGAATAGTATGACATCGCTTTGTATAATTCTATAATTCTACCGGTTACGTAGCAGTATTTAGACAACCGGGTATTCAGACACGTGAGTATTTAGACAAATACTGTTTTAACCAATCAGAATTGAGACAAGGAAGAAATTAATAATTAATTAATTAATTATTATTTATTTTGTATTATTTATATGATTATTTATATTTATTTATATTTTGGATTATTTGGGTTTATATTTATACAGGGGCGGATCTAGGATTTTCTCGAGGGGGGGGGGGCGGATTTTCGAAAAAATTTCCCAAATTTTGACGACCTTTTTTTTTTTTAGGTCGACCAAATTGATTTTTCGAGCTCTCCCAAAGCACTGTTTTGCGCCTATTTTTGCAAAATTTTCTGCGCCGCAGGCAAATTTTTGAAAAAACAATCAAAAAAGCCGTTTTTGGGCACTTTTTGAAAATTTTTGACAATAAAATTGCGTTTTTTTTGGCGCGCGCTCCCCCTCAAAGTTAGTATATATTGGCGCCGAAGGCGCCTTTAGAAAAATTTTAGGGTCGGTCCGCCAAAAACGGATTTCTGAAAAAGTATCAAAGGGGGGACCCTTTGGGTCGGCAGGGGGTCGAATCCCTGAGGGGGGAAGCGTCCGCCCCCCCGCCCCCCCCCCCCCCTAAATCCGCCCCTGTATTTATAAATTATGACTTATCTCGATTCTGATTGGTTCATACAGTATTTGTCTAAAGACTGACGAGTCTGAATACGCGGTTGTCTAAATACAGACCGCACTCCAATTCTACCCCCCCCCACCTGTTTTCCGTTGTGTGTGACGGAGCGCAGTATGGCGGAGAGGTCTTTGTTTCCGAATGCGATGTCCATGAGATGAATGGCGAAGAAGAAGCGGGAGAAGTTGCCGGCTATGGAGAAGAGGAAGTAGAAGAAGATGTAGAGGAACGCCTGGTCACTGAAGATCACCCCCAGCTTCCACAAGTTGTACTCGTAGTCGTCTAAAAGACACACAAACAACAAATTTAGAATCGAGAGTACGCTATTAAAGCAAAAACAATATCGCCACGCAAAAAAGAACACAAAATTTGTTGAATTCCTACTGATAAACACAATTCCAACTAACAAAAATTTGCCAAATTTTTGAAAAAAAAAAAACATTATATACAGTAACTTTAGATTTTACTCACAATTTGCAAAATATCCAGAGCTGTTCGACGTTCCAGTGCCACCAGAAGCCCCCTCGGCAGCAGAAGTTGCTGGAGCGTCTTGCATTCCAAGAATCGTGTCTATGACTTCATCTCCTACGGCTTCGCTGTACTTGCTCTTGGCACGTTTCTTCACAAACTTGTCCCAGAAGTTTACCGGAAAAGACCTAAAGTTCACACTTTCAGAAACATTCCGCCATACTTTTGACAAAAAAGAAAAAATGTTCGAGACTTTTCGCGTTTTTGACAAAGTCTTCGTTTAAAAGCTCTTTTTAAAAGTCTTCATAAAATGTCTTTCAAGAGAAAAACACTTTTCGGTCCAACTGAATCTAACAAATGAACAATTTCAATGCTGTCAAAGGAATTCGATATGCTTAAGTGGGATTCAATATGAAAATGTTCCATGGAACTACTTATCAATAAATCCTGACTTGTATTATCGCTTTTTCTGATCGCAACATTTGGGTCTCCATGGGGTCAAATAAACTGACCTGGAGCTGATAACAACACGATCTAGTTTGGCCCGTAAGTCACTCCACTCTGGCTGCGTGGTGAGGTAGAGTCCCTCGAACTCCAGCTTTCGCGACACTTCTTTCTCTCGCTGGAAGATCACCAGTGGCACCTGAAGTGAAAAATACAACAAAAATCAGCTCAAATTGAGGCACTTGTCCAGCCATTACGTCCAGCCATTATGAGGCACTTGTCCAGCCAGACTCCAACTAAATCCATAGCCTCTCGGTCTCCACGATATAAATCTAAGTTAGCCCTCGTCTCTGAAAATTACGCTATTTTGTGAACATTTCCTAACAGATGCAGATCTTGCGCTAATCTTTAAAAAAACCGAACATTCTGTTGACCTAATCTAAAACTTGATCAATATTTTTTGATTTAATCAACATTTTTTGATCAAAAAAATTGATTTATGAGCACTCCCAAAAGAAAAGCCATCAAAGACCCCGATGAAAATTTTTCGACGCTTTAAGGCACTATTTTGAAAACTCTGACTTCAAATTTAATATGCTCTTCCAACAAATTAAATACTTATTGGTGCCGAATTCACGTTTAGATTGCTGTTGTAAAATAGTAACAGAACAAATAAATCTTTTGGGCATTGGCGTGCGCAGAAACTTTTCTGGAGGGGAGCGCTTTTCAAAAAAAAATGTTGGAAAATTTTGCGGGCCTTTTTTCGGTCGATCAATAGATTTGATTTTCCGAACTATCCAAAAATACAATAAGAACTTACTTTGCCAAAAACTTTCTGCGCCGCAGGCAAAATTTTCAAAAAAAACGGGCCAAAAATTTGCAACATTTCGACTAAAAAATTGCGTTTTTTCGGCGCGCGCTCCCCCCTCAAAATTAGTTTTTAATATTATTTATTCACGAGGGATAGGACCAACATACGAGCTGTACAGCTCATCACGGCGACCCGCTGTTGTGCCCCAAAGGCGTCCTTAGACAATTTTTGTCCTTTGTCATCCAAGAATGAATGTAGGAAAATTATACCAAAGGGAGGACCCTTTGGAAAAATTTGGCTACCAGAATTTGAGTTGTTTCACTTGGCTAAAGATTCTGCGCCCAAAAGTTTCTGAACGTGAACTTAAGAAAACTTTCAGGGTTGGCCGATCAGAATTGATTGACGTACAATGGAACCAAATTAGACGTATTGGAAGAATTTGGTAGCCAAAATTAAGAGGGTGGAAAGGGTCGACTCTGGGGGAAGAAACTGAGTTCAAAGCTAATCAACCGTGTATTGGGTTTCGCGAAGACAATTATTTTTTAAATATCTTTCATAGGAAAAACTGTCCAAATGTTCTGGTTTTAAAATACACTAAATAAAATTAAAGCTCCCGTATCAAGCAAAGCTTGGAAGGTTTCCATTTTCCTTTGAAATATCGGGAAAAAAACATACAGTTTTGTGAGAGAAAAAATTGAATTTTCTTTTTTATGTAAATCTGG